CCAGGTAGATGCGTGGCAGCTTCCCCACCCTGCAGGGATTCGGTGCCCTCACGGATGTTACTCCCCGGGCCTTCCCTGATCCGGCAAGAGCAGGTCCCCAAGGGGAGGCGTCAGTGCAATCACCCACCCAGGGCTGATGGGGCCGTGGCTTGTGTAGCGAGAACTCCCCCACAAACCCGGGGACCATGTCACTGTCACAGGAGAGGAGAACGGAGAGGGGACGTGAGTGGAGGCGGGGCAGGCCTCTGGCGGGGCTCCACCACCAGGAGCTCCGTCTGTGCCAGCCGTCCCTCCGAACGCCGTGAGGGCAGCTGCACGAATGGGAGTGACCCTCGGATCAAGGAGTCACTGGTAGAGAGAGAAGCTGTTTTATTATAATCGAAATTATAACATAACAGCATCGGGATTATCTCCAGAGTTCAAAGGAAAAAATCTCATGGGAACAGAAGCATTCCGGTAGCTACGGATCAGGAGGCTGAGGACGTCGTCACGAGGGAAAAGCCTGTCTGTTTGTGTAGGTTTACACGACCAACCTGGTCTCAGTAAATAATTACCCCGGCAAGTCCGTGGCCTGGCAATTGTGCAACAGTTTGAGGCACTCTGATGTCTGCACAACATGCTGAAATATCCAGAGGGCAAACGGGCAAAGTCTAGAAACGTCCTTGTTTTGCTGGGATTACGGGAAAGCGCAGCGGCGCTTCCTGCTACATACCCTTGGAACAACACGTCCGTGTGTCCCGTGCAGGGCCCCTTCCCCGGTGACACACAGGGGCTCTCTCGCACTGACCTCGCTGGAAAGCTCACCTCACAGTGGGGCAGGATATGGTGAGGGGTGTCGTTGGTGGAGAATCCCAGGGCAGTGTCAGGCAACCAGTGCGCTTAATGACATTTAGAGGGACACCAATGCCAACCCAGATAAGAGAGAATGCCCTCCCAAGAGCCAACGGCCAGGGCCTCGGTGACCCTGTGAGCGAGAAGTGCAGGGCAGGCACCGAGTCATCGAGTCGGAGACCCGAGTCTTGCACACCTCCAGGCCAGCCCGGCTCTTCCCGGCTCATCCTAAGTCCGCTCTTGTCAAGCTCTGAGCAGGTAATCCTAACTGAAAGTCCTCAAACCAGAGGGGCCAGCTGACGGCATGTGGACACATCTCAGGGACCAGCCAGCCTGGTCTCCCTGGATAGCCAGCCACAGCTGGGCAAGACCAAACTCCTGAGCACAGCCAGCCACAAAGAGGCTGCTCTCCGTGACCTGGAGCGGCTTTGGCTAACTGCAGCGTCCAGACTCCTGTCCAGGAACTAGTGTGTGTACTGGCCTCTTCCACTGGCATCTGCTCTGACCGGGGCCCAGCCGAAGACTCCACCAACAGGCCCCCCTGCCGCCTGCTTCCAGTTTGGTTCAGCCAGTGTGGGGGGCCAGCAGGAGTAGGGAGTGAGGGAGGAGAGCATGCTGGGTCCCTCCTGGCATGGTCGCTGCAGTCTGGCCATGTCCCTTGGCCGAAGTTCGTAAATCCTGTCTGGTGGCCCACCTTGCCTCCAAGTTCTGGGACAGGGATGCTCCACTGTGGTGCCCCCACCACTGCACCAGCCTGGGGTTGCCCTACACCCGCCCACCTTTCAGATGGTCCACATGCCACCAGCTCTCTCGACCTCACCCGAATGGAGCATGCCCTCTGCCCAGACTGAGTGACACGTGCCTGAGACCACTCCCACCTCTACCACGGCCCCCTTGCCTGATGCCCAACCATGGCTAGGCCCCATAGGGCCACTTCCAAGGCACCCTCCTGGCAGCCTTTGTGGCTGTGTGGGTGCTCCCCCCAGGGTGCCTCCACTGCCCCCTGGCTCTGTCTGGCTCCACTGCCCGGCTGCCTTCTAGAGATGGGGATAGGATCCTGCCGTCCTGGCTCTAAGGCAGTCCATCAGCCCTGCCCACGGAGGACTGAGGCTCTGACCCCTCAACAGCCTCCTTGCCACCTCTCCACTTGGGGTCTCTGTGAAGGTTCCCTTCCTGCCCCAGGCCTTGTCCCCTTCCCTCAACACCAGCCCCTCATCCTCCCACAGTCGAGTCTCTAGCATCCAGGAGGCCTCAAGAAGCCCTGGGGGCTTCGCGGTTAGCGGTGGGCTCTCATGAGTGATGCCTGCGGCAGCCCATCTCTCTTGAGGAGAGGAGGATGTTTCCATGTGCATGCCTGCACCAGAGGCCCCGCCCAGTCTGCAGCGGGATTTGGGGCCCACGCTGTCCAGAAAACCCATCTTGGGTGTCCCTGCTCCGTGGAGAGGGGGCCCAGGGGCCCAGATCTCAGCGGCCCCCGCCCGCCTGGCATCCAGAATCCAGGTGTGGAGTGATGACAGTGCTGGGCTGCAGGCCCCTTAGAACCAGGGGTCTCCCTGGGCACACACCAGGTGGGGATTTGCACAGAACAGGCACTAACTTAGCAAACAGGTTGAAAAATAAATGAAATAGGCAAATCCACAGGGGCAGAAAGTAGACTAGTGGTTGCTTAGGGCTGGGGGTGGGGAGAAATGGGGAGCCCTTGCTAACGGGGACAGGGTTCTCTAATTGATTGTGGTGATGGTTGCACAGCTCTGTGAATACACTGAAAACCATCTCATTGTACACTTTATATGGGTGGACTGTGTGGGATGTGAATTATAGCTCAGTAAAGCTGTTACATAAATAAAGAATAAACAAACCATGATTTTCTCCTAACACATCTGTGTGTGCATATAGGTAGACAGGTATGTTTATGTATATAGACAGATATACGTATATACCTGGAATACACACACACGTGCACACACATTTTCTTCCTTTTGTTTACCCAGAGTGACAGAATAATTCCTTGTGACCTTGAATATACAACCCGCCCTCATGTGCTGACAGAAACCTGCTTAGTTGGCTTCTGTGTTTTACAGGTTAATTAAACTAGAGGGAAAACAACAATTTTCATGGTTTTTGTCAGAGTGGTCATTTGCCCAAAGGGTGGGACTGTCAGACGTGGTACCACAGTGTCTGCAGGCTGCTCAGGCGTGCCGGGCACCTCCCGAGCACCAGGCCCGCGGCCGAGCAGGAGGAGAGGGAAGCTGCAATTACTGCTCATGCGACAGTAAATGTTCTGTGTCCACCTGAACCGACTAAGGGGTGCCCGGATGGCTGGTGCATGTTATTGCTGGGTGTGTCTGTGCGGGTGTCTATGGAGAGATCAGCATACGAACGGATGGACCGACTAAAGCAGATGGCCCTCCCCCAGGTGTGGGTGGACACCATCCAATCCCTCGGGGCCCAAATAGAACAAAAAGGCTGCAGAAGGGAGAACTGGCTCTCTGCCTGAGCTGGGAGGTCCATCTTCCCCTCGGACATCAGCGTTCCTGATTCTCTGACATTTGGACTCAGACTGAACTGCACCCTCGGCTGTCCTGGTCTCTGACTGCAGACTGCAGATGGCAGGGCTTCTCGGCCTCCCTAATCGCAAGAGCCAATCCTTGTTATAAATTTCCTCTTCTCTTTCTTTCTATATCCGATTGGCTGTTTCTCTGCAGAACCTGACCAACACGCTCACACACTGGATTAGGGCCAACACCTCAATTTACTGCTGGCCGGGGAGCAGAGTCACATAGACCCAAAGTGAGTGGCTGAGATTCAGGATGAGGACCACCTAACTCCAGGCCCAACCCCCGCCTGCCTGCCCGAAGCAGCTAACCGGGACCTCAGCCACTGCCCATCCACCACCCATTCAGCCCCAGGAACGTGTACGTCAAATCGTCAGGCCTCGTCCATCTTCCTGGAGCAAGGATGCCAGCAGGCAGCACAGGAGTAGCCTGGCCCCCACCAGGTGTGTCTGAGCCTGTCCCACGGCTGGGAGAGTCTGTGGGGTGACGGTGGGGTGCACCTGGCCACCTGTGTGCCACTGGTCACCAGCTCCTCCCCGTGCCCTGTGGGCTGTGCCCATCCGGTGTCAGACACCCTGCTGAGGCCCCTGGTATGAGGACTCTCCCACCTGCCTCAGACCTGCTCGGACCCCGGTCATCATGGCTCAGGCCCTGGGTTCGTTACGTCCATGCCTCATTCCCCATCTGTAATCCTACCTCCTGGGCAGGGTTGCCATGAGGACTAAATAGAATTAAATGTTGCTTCTTCATGTGTCAAAAAAAAAAGACTGTCTTACGCTAACATTCATCAGCCTGCATTCTACTGCACGCCCCTCCCCATCGTTAGACCAGGAAACCAAAGGGCAGCCATTTGCTCAGGGTCAAGAAGTTTGCAAGGTGAGCAGACGAAGTTTGAATGCCAGAAGCCTGGGTGTGAAACCTGGTCAGCCTCAGCTCCCAGAGCCAGGGACACAGAGCCAGTGATGAGGGGGCGCACAGAGACACCACACCACATGGCCTGGTGGCTTCCCATCGGCCCTGCTCCCACTCTTTGTGGGAGCCCAGAAGTGGACCTGGGCTATGCCCAGTGCGCCTCTACATGGCAGGTGGGCAGGGCTCTGCCGGTCACCGCCTGCCTCCTCGGGGGTCAAGGCCCGGGACAGCTCACATGTCCATTACTCCTCAGCCTCCCATACACCTCTTGTGTCAGAATTTCCCAGTGTACTCGTTGAAAATATAGATTCCTGCCCCCACCTACAGGCCTACTAAATCTGGGGTGGGCTGTGTGAGATTCGGCATTTTCTGGAGTTTCCCACGACCCTGACGAGACCCGGTGTCACATCCAGCCCAGCAGAGGCTGAGCCCCTCTGTACCACCACCCCTCTGCTGGAACACCTCTGGGGACAGCGAGCTCACTGCTCTCATAATCACGAAACTGTGACCATCACACAGGGTTCATCAACCAGTCCCTCCAGCCCTCCTGTGCTGGCTTCCCACCAGCCCCACTCCCACTCCTTGCCCAGCCCACAGTGCCCTCCCACACAGCTCGCCAGGGTCCAGCAGGAAGCCCCCACCTGACACCCACTCCCAAGGGGCTACTTTGTCAACCCCCCAAGTAGAAAGGGCTCATCTTGCCTGCACGGCCCAGAGGTAGTCCAGCCGCAGCTTGACGTCCACCTGCCGGGCATGCAGGGCCAGCGTGCACGAGAACAGCAGGATGGCCACAATTGGCTCGAAGCTGTGCCCGGAGACGGTGCCGCCCCTTGGGGAAGATGAGGAAGAAAATCCATGTCACTGTGAAGACTTTGTCATCGAACATGAGACCCGTCCACAGAGTGCCCCTCAGACGTGACACCCACAGTGGCACCTAGGACTGACCCAGGCTGAGAGCCACGTCTCGCCGGGAAACCCAAGGCCTTGCTGGAATTTGGGCTGAAAGGGAGAAATCACGAAACCAATGAGCTTCCTAATCAGCAAAGTGGACCACAGCACTGCGCACATGTTCACAACATCCACGCGGGTCTGTTCCAGCGGAAGCCACACACCTACCCCATGGCCTTGGTATACCCGCTGAGCTCCAGGACCAGGATGTAGGACGCCGTGAGCACGGACAGCAGGATCATCTTGGGCAAGGAGGAGACTCGCAGGAATATGGCCAGTGGGAGGGTGCCCACCAGGCCGCAGAGCAGGGCGTGGGGTGCAGACTCGCAGGGCGGGGCAGGCAGCACTGGAATCCGGCTGCCAGACGACAGGAACACCAGGGACCCGTTGGGACTGGAGCTCCAGGCCCAGGGCAGGCAGCCCACCTGAAGGGGTATGGAGGGGCAAGGCACATAGGAGAGGCCCTGCTCAGGACAGGCAGCCGGCCATCCTCCCCAAATTCCCTGCAGTCTCCCACTCTGACTCACTGCCCCAAGTGCCACCAGTGGGGCCTAAGACACTCCCACGTGCTCACAGACTTCAAGGCCCCTCACTGCCGAGGGGGAGCAGGGGCCCTAGGAGCTAGGTCAGGGCCACGAGACCCCTGCTAGCCTCCTCAAAACCTGTCAGTTCCATCCTATTACTCTCAACCCACCTCTACCGTGTGACTCCCACCCCACCTCCATCTTGTTACTCTCACCCCACCTCCACCCTGTTACTCCCACACCCTCCTCCATCCTGTTACTCCTGCCCCAACTCCATCCTGTTACTCTCACCTCACCTCCACCCTGTCACTCCCACCCTACCTCCATCCTGTTACTCCTGCCCCACCTCTATCCTGTTACTCCTTCCCTACCTCCACCTTGTTACTCACACCTTACCTCCATCCTGTTACTCCTGCCCTACTTCCACCTTGTTACTCCTGCCCTCGCTCTGTCCTATTACTCTGCCCCAACTTCTGTCCTCCGCACACTATGAAGGGGCAGGTCTTCCTTTACCAGGAGGTTTCATTTCTTCTGCTGGATGCAGTCCCCTCCCCTGGCTTCCTTGGGCACCCCCAGGCCTGTCTCTGACTCCCTTGCCTCCTCCTCGTCTCTGGGCCAAGCCCTCCAGCACGGCTCCTGTAGGTGCCTTGTCATCCCTGCACCTCACTCTCTTGCCACACCCAGCCCTTGCTGCAAGTCAGAGATGCTCACCACACATCCTTGGGCCACAGAGTAGATTAAGACCACTATGAAAATACACAGGACAGTGCGAATCTGGATCGTCAGGCACCCTGGAAAACACTGCACAATAAAGCATTATTTTATTTTATTTTTTGTGAGGAAGATTAGCCCTGAGCTAACATCTGTTGCCAATTCTCCTCTTTTTGCTGAGGAAGATTGGCCCTGGGCTAATATCCATGCCTATCCTCCTCTACTTTATATGTGGGACATCTGCCACAGCACGGCTTGATAAGCAGTGCATAGGTCCATGCCCAGGATCCAAACCTGCGAACCCCGGGCCGCCAAAGTGGAGCACGCGAACCTAACCACTACACCACCAGGCCGGCCCCGTAAAGCATCATTTTAAAAGTAGCATGTTACTACAAAGTTGTTCCTGTTCACAGTAAATCATTCACATTACAGAATGCACAGAGCAATCTGAATACTGTTAGATTCTCACCCACTATTCATCCTCCACACAAATTTCTTGGTTGTTTTCACATATTTAATATCCTAGGTGAAATAATTGCCAAAATTAAAAAAACGAACTGAAGTCTTTAAAGTAAAAAGAGCAACACCTCCCCCCTGCCCCTGCACTGTGACTTTGATTGGTACTGAAATTAACTGAATAGATTAACTTGACACTTGCATAATATCGAATCCTTTTGTCTCAGAAATGGTAAGAATTTCCATTTATGTCTGTCTTCTTTTATCTCCTTTAACTAAGTTTTATCATTTTCTTCACACAGGTTTAATATAATTTTTGTTACATTATTAGAAATTTCATTTTAAATCTACTTAAATACATTTTGCAATACTCAACATATGATTTCACGGATAAAAGTCAGAAGTTCTTTTTAGATTCACACTCCTGAAATTAGAAATAAAAATAAAAATAAGGACACAGGGACCTTACAGAAAACACTAATGAGACCCTGGCCCAGCCAGGGTACCCTGGGCCGTCTACACGGCTGTCCCTCTCATCATTCTACCCTGTGAGGTCGGGATCATTGCTGTCCCCGCTCTACAGGTGAGGAAGCTCAGCCCAGACACCACCAGCCCACACCACTCGCCCTACGGACCGGGACACCGAGAGGGCTGCTCCAGTTCACACAGTGGTGGTTATGGATCTGGGTCCCAGTTCTAGGTTCCCTAGGCCCCAACACTGTTGTGTTTGCTGAAACACTGGCTTCCTCTGCTCTTCTCAGAAAGAAGAGCTGTTCTGTGTTGGGGCCAGTCTTCTTATTGACCTGATGTATCTCACTTCCCTCCCAGTCTTATCTCCAAGATAAGACATGGATGCAGGCCACGAGACTTGGGCCCCCAGCCAGCTGAGGTCATTGGTTCCTTCAGCAAGCACTGGAGGGGCTCCTCCTGGCCAGGCAAGCTGCAGGAGCCCTGGGGCAGCACCGTGAGTGGGGTGTGGCCCCCGATGCTGCGGGAAGACGAAAACAGAACAAAAGTCTCCTGGGAGGCGGTGAGTGGAGGGCCAAGGCCAGACAGGCCTGCCCGGGGTGCACAGAGGCTGCAGATGGAGGCTGCCTGGGGCCAGGTCTGCAACGCCGGAGGAGGGGCCTGCCAGGACCAGGTCAGGGCAGCTATGCAAGGCTCAGGGGCGCCAAAATGCTTGAGGCCTACCAGGGTGAACCCGCCACTCCCACTTGTGTGGTCTAAATGGCCAAACGGTGGCAGGTTCCCATGGATATTTCACATCTAGGACGTACAACCGCCCATGTGCATTCTGTGGGCCCATTGCTCTCTTTGAGCTCTATTGATTCAACACCAAACAAGGCAAATTTTAACCGCTCACACAATCGGTTATTTATAGATGGTTATTTATTGAATCGTGGATTAATTCATTCAACACTTACGGATTTGTTTCCTGCCCACTGAGTACCAGCGCTACGTTAATGGTCTCTGGAATAAGAATGCCAACGAACCGTCAGCATCTGGGTCTAGAGTACTTTACAGTTTTCTCGAGCATCACCTCGTTTCACGTTACATCCCCACACTGTGGAGGCAGCCAGGAAGCATTGCTTTCTCTGGATGGAGTGGGCACTTAGCTGCCCCTAAGCATTGACTTTCCCCACCCATCCTGCCAACAGCATTCAGAATTTCATTCAGGTATCCGCTCTTCTCACAAAACTCCATACTTTAGGGGCTGCTGACCCCACTCAGCCTCACAGGGGCCCCATTTAATGCACCCATAGGCACAGTGCCTCTCCAGGTTACAAGAGCATGGTCGGGGATGTGACGTGGGCCTACAAGAATGCAGGGGGCTGAGGCTTTGCAGGATTTAGTCACCCTTCTCCTGGGCCCTGATTCAGGGTCCCTGACCCCCAGCCAGCTGTGTGCTCAGCTCCAGGACTCCCAACACGTGAGAACGGAGACGTGGGCCCCAGCCAGCTCAGACTCACAGGATCTAGCTTGTTCCTGCTCACCTCTCTCAACCCCCATCTCCCCTCTCCACTGCCGGCCCCAGGCACTGCGAGCTCCACCACAGCCTCACACAGCTGTTTCACCGGCTCCCACCACTGCGGGAGTTCCGTGGTGGGTAGGAACTGCTGGCCGCTCCGATATGTGAACCACACTCAGGCCCGGAATAGAGTTTGGAGCAAGCGCTGTCCTTCTCTGGAGGCGACTACTCTCCTGCTGAGAAACAGCTCTTGGCCTGCTACTGGGCCTCACTCAAGACCAAACACTCGACCACAGGCCACCAAGTTGGCATGAGACCTGAGCTGACCAACACGAGCTGGGGTTGTCTGATCCACCGAGCCATAAAGTGGGGTGCGCACAGCAGCACTCCTTCATCAAATGGAAGTGGCACATATATGATCAGGCCCGAGCAGGCCCTGAAGGCACGAGAAAGTTACATGAAGAAGTGACCCAAAGGCCCACGGTCCCCACTCCTGCCACACTGCCTTCTCTCCCCCAGCCTGCACCTGTAGCCTCACGAGGAGTTCCCTACCATCAGTCGACAGAGGAAGAGAAGACTCGAGCCTGGTTTACGGGTGGATCTGTATGATATGCAGGCCCCACCCAGAAGTGCATGGCTACAGCAAGGCAGCCTCTCTCTGGGACACCCCTGAAGGAGAAGTCCTCCCAGTGCACCAGGCTGTGCACTTTGCTTAGAAGGAGAAATGGTCAGACATGTGATTGTATAAGGATTCATGGGCGGTGGCCAATGGTTTGGCTGGATGGTCAGGGACTTGGAAGGAACATGATTAGAAAATTGGTAACAAGGAAATTTGCAGGAGAAATATGTGGATAGACCTCTTTCAATAGGCAAAAAAGTGAAGATAGTTATGCCTCATGTGAATGTTCACTAAAGGGTGACCTCAGCAGAGGAGACTTTAATAATCAAGTGGATAGGATGACCTGTTCTGTGGATACCAGTCAGCCTCTTTCCCCAGCCACCCCTGTCATCCCCCAATGGGCTCAAGAACAAAGTGGCCATGGTGGGGCAGCCTTAGAATCAGGGCGTGGGGGAGGTGTGGGAACCCTGAGGAGCAGGACAGAGAAAGTGTGTCCTCGTGGGCTCCCTCTTTACACCCACGTGCTCTCCTCTCCTGCCCCAGGGATTTCAAACTCCACCAGAGGCTGAAACCAGCTCTGCAATGGTAGAAGGGCAAATCCCTACAAGGAACACTTTCTACGCGGGAGGAATGCACGGACACCCTCTTGGTGAGGTGCTGCTTCTCTGAGGGACTCTGACTGACAGAGGCCAGGTTTGCTGGGGCCACTGAGAGGAAGCATTTGGGTTCTTTTGAGGGAGGTGCCAGAGAGGCATCCTCCCCACTGTGGATGTGGTGGGTGGTCGTGGATGTGGTGGGTGGACGTACAGCTGGGCTGCTGATGTCTTTGGGCCACTCCAAGGGAGGCCAGCCTTGGGCTGGGGCCAGGCCTGTATGGGCAGGGAGAGGACCCAGAGAGAAATAGGTCTCAGGTGGCAGAATGGAGTCATTGGATAAAACCAAAACCAACCCCGGGCCCTCCCTCCCTACCTCCCTGTCCCTCCCTCCCTTTCTTCCCCTCTGGTTTTTCTGAATACATGAACCAATAAATTCCCTTTATCATTTAAAATTGTTTGAGCTAGCTATTTGGTTACTTGCAAAATAATATTCTTCCAGAGAGGGGAGGTGTGCCACCTGGATCACACCCCAGTGAGGGATCTCTGACTACTGGCCATGGAGTACTAAGATCCTCCTCAGTCAGTGCTACACACCTGATCCTACAAATGTGTTTGATCAAACACATCTGAAAGTTGAGCAATGACGATCATATGGACCAACATGGAGTTGGAGCTTGTTTGCTGTGAGCTCTTAGAAGAGCAGAAACACACAAATTTTAAGGAGAGTTGTCTGTAATTCTGAAGCCTGATGGCCTACTTTTTTTATAGTTAATTTGGGTAATGCTTATCAGTTCTCTTTCATGAGATATATACATATATATATATATATATATTTATCCACAGACAAAAAACAGCATGAAAAATAGTCTATCATACTACAGAAAAAAGCTGATCTGACATAAACAATGCAAAATTCTCCCAGAACATGATCTACAATTAGTCAGACGTGGCCCAGTTGGTTGTTGGTTGTTAGAACATCCTCAAAGCACACTGCCCACACAGCCACAAACAACGACACTGTTTCAGAAAGTGACTCTACAGCAGTGGTGAGTGTGAGCACCCCGAAAGCCACAGCAAGAAGGGCTGTTCACAGCATGAGCTGAATTTCACGCAGGCTCCCAGCAGTGTGGCAAGGCCACAAAGCGGAACTGGGGATGCTGTGCAAATCTGGAGCAAGACATGTGTTCTCTGCAGAGAGGAGAAGCCAAGGAATAAGCCATGCCCAGGACAACATACGGAGGGAAGCTCAGTGTGCACAGAAGGACGGCGGGAGGAGAGCAGCTGCCCAGCACCGTGGACAATCAGTCCTAACGTGGGCGACGCTCTGCCGATGACCCCACTGCGCCTGAGCCACGTGGCTGCGGAGTTTAAACCCCTTAGGCAAATGGGACAACCACACAACCATAGACCTCTCCCCTCAGCCCCGTGCTCCTGGCTTTATTCTCAGCGCCATGGGACATGCTCCGGCTCTGCAGAAAACGCCCTTGCAAGGGAGCAGGGTCTCCAGAGCCTTTGCCCAGGTGGCAAATTAAGAAACCTGTTTTATATCGCGGCCCACAGACACACAGCTGAAACCTGACAACGTTTGGTGCAGGAGGACGTTTCCATTCATTTCTGTTCACACCTCACAGAAAACGACTTCACAGTCTGAAGCCCAGCCGTGGCAGGCAAGCGTCCTGGCCCTTCCCCACCCTGCAGGCACTCTGGGTCTGGGCAGGACGGGACACCGGGACACTGCCTCTCCCCAGGCAGGCCCTCCCCAGCAGCAGGGAGGGGAGAAAGCCCAAGGCCCGGACCCCACCCTCCTGAAGGGTCCCCGCATGCCCAGAGGACCGCTACGGCACGACTAGGGCAGCAGATTCCAGCTCCAGGGAGGAGGACGGAAACACGAGGCTGAAGAGCGACCGTTGGCACCAGGCTCGGGTGGGAAGAATGAGGGTGCCTGTCCAAGGCACACGCTGGCCACCTTCCAGGCCACGTCGCACTCACGTCCCCGGAACCAGCAAGCCCTGGGAGGTGTGGAGCCCCAGAGAGCGAAGCGCACCCCAAACCTGCAGATGCCCAGTGACCGGTCCAGTGCACATCTCCCTCTATCCTTTCCCAGCACTCCTCCTCCTGGCCCGGCCCGTGGCAGCCCTGGACCCATCGCGCCCACCCAGGGCCAGCACCGCTGCAGAAATGGCCTCGGCCAGCAGCGCAGTCTCACATGGGTCCTCATGTCCAGCTGGTCCAGCTCTGCCCCTTTCTAGCCCTCACTGCAGACCCTCACGTGCCATCGCAGCCTGTGGAGCATCCCCTCCCCCGTCCAGGCCCCGTGGCCTCAGAATTGACGGGATTAGGCCCTGCTGACCAGTCCCTTGGCTTTTCCAGCCTCTCCTCCTGCTCTAAGAACAAGGGTTTCAGTTGAGCCTACTGTGTGCCAGACCCTGCTCCCAGTGCTTCATGAATGTCGGCTTCTATTCCCAACCCCACCCCATGTCACAGAGACACTGAGGCTCCAGAGCTGGCAGCCCCTAGCGATGGGCAAGCCAATCGGGTAGGCAGAGGTCCCAGGTGGCCACGGAGTTGCCACACCTGCCCAGGCGCCCAGGTTGTGGCCTCCTCCCATGTCAGAGAGGACAGCACTCTGTCCAGTTGCCTCCCAGGCTTTCTCGGGGATGCGCCTCTGCAGTGGAGCTGATCCCACCTGCATGTGCGGCCGTGTCTCCCTTCCTTGGCCCACGCTGGGCCTCTGCTTGCCCCCGTCTGCTGGGGCCCCACTCCTCCCCAGCCCTGCAATCTTCTGCACAAGCCCCCACGGTGAACGCAGAGCCGAGCGCATGGCCTGCCGAGTAAGTGTGAGAGCTGAGGATCAGACCCTGACGGGCACACCGGTCGGTGAACCTAAGCCACCTGCTGTCAGAACCGTGCATGCTCCCCCCACTCTGCTTCCTGCCCATCGGCCCCGAGCCCGCCCACTGCAGCTCCCAGGAAGACCTGATGCTTCAAAATCACACACTTAGGAAAAACGCTCAGGCCCACGAGGAGGGCGAGGGGGAGAGTCGACGCTCAGAAAGAAAGGGGCTGGTGGAGCCTGGCGCTGCCTCTGCAGAGGGAACTGTGTCCACCATCAGGCACACAGGTTCCCAGCCCTGGGGACAGTGTGGCAAGCTTTAGAAATTAGCATCCATCTGTCATGCTTTCACTTGAAATTATGTGAATAAAGAAGTCTTATCTGAAGTGGGATATGTCAAGGGTTACCAAAACAAATGTCACTCTGTCTGTGGAAGTCAAAGAGCTGGGAATGTGGTTTGAATAAACAGCATTTTTTTTTACTTAAAAAAAAGATGTTACCTGTGAATAATGAAGAAGTTAAACAAATAAAACTAGATTTAATCTTCTCAAGAAGTTGCTGTTTCCAACAATTATGCAAAAATAACACTGGGCCTGCCAGACGCGACAACTGGGGGTGCAGTGGGGAGATGGGACATTTGGAAATGAAGGCTCAGGATGGGACAGGAACGCAGGACTAGAACAAACAGTCCTCTCCCAGGAGCCACAGGCAGCACGGGGCTGCGAGCTCAATCCCCGGCTCCAAGAGTGCACGCCAGCAAGAGCAAGCCAGCGAAGGACCCTCGAGAGCGTGAACACCCCAGTCTACACAGGCGCGCACAACAAGCCATTGCTCTCCTGTCCCCACGGGACTCCCCACTCCGGAGAACAGCACTGCACCTTGGGTTCATGTTATTCAATTGCCATCGGTCTCCGGCCACTGCGTCCATGGGGCACGCTCCCCAAACTCCAAATAGCATCCAGCACACGATGAGGGGTAATGAGCTCCTGCTACATGGCAACTCTTTCTACCTGCCAGGAGGGTGAGGGGACGAACTGCCTCCACCACCCTACCTGTCCTGCCAAGCGTCAGGGGGAGGCAGCGCACATGCCTGTCCAGGTGACATGCAGTACAGGACACACACACTCACGAACCTGGACCCAGGTGATGTGCAGGTACAGGACACACACACTCACGTACCTGGACCCGGGTGACGTGCAGGTACAGGATACACACACTCACGTACCTGGACCCGGGTGACGTGCAGGTACAGGATACACACACTCACGTACCTGGACCCGGGTGATGTGCAGGTATAGGACACAGGCCACCAGGAAGCAGATGCAGAACACCAGCAGGAGCAGGACGGCCAAGTTCCTAGGGACAGAAGATGTGGTCACTGTGGACCGGGCAAGGAGAGGGCCAAGAGGTGCCTGGGAATCCACCCCGCTCCCCCACCAAGTCCCCCGGCCCCCAGGAAGAAGCAGTTGTCTCTGGGGACCTGCCCACGCTGATCCTCTTCTAAGGGAGGGCCCCTAGGGCTCCCCAACTTCTACCCACCCCCCCAGGATCTCTCCAGTCCTGAGAGTTCCCGAGGGGTGCTTCCCTCCTGCAGGCAAGACTGTAGTTGCACAGACTTGGCTGCTGGGCACTGCCCTCCTACTGGGCTTCGTCAGGAACAGCTTTTCTAGAAAAAGCTTGAGCCCCAGTTAGGGCCGTCCTGGTGGTCACCGTGGGTTCACAGTGTCGGGAAGGGGGGGCTTCTAGGTCTTTTCTGGAAAACCACAAGACAACTACTGCACTCAGGAGGTTTTATTAAGAAAGCGGTATATTTGGAAGAAAAGTAGAGGTTTTCTGGGGTCTTCCTTTCCAAAAAACAAAAACCGCCAAAATCTCTTTGACTTATGATGATTAAATGTTATTAAAATCACTATACTTTTCTTCCTTTCCAGATGGCACTTTTTCTCATTTAAAATTTCTGAAAATGACAGACACCTAGAAACCAATGCACATTTTCTCCCTCAGAGGCTTGTCATGAAGTCACTGGTGCGTGTTGTGTAGACAGAGACACTGAAAATATAGGGTGTCTAAGAGCTGTGTAAATTAAAAGTTAAAAACTGAGAGTGAGCAGGCCCACGGCTTGCCATCAAGCCTGCTAAGCTAGTCACTTGAGTTAATGGAGAACTGGTGTGTGGCCCTGTTGTCGCCAAATGTCGCGCGTGATGGGAGAGTAAGTGCAGGAGCCGAACGTGAACATGCACAAGAGAACGCCTGGTGACCTTGTCCTCCCACTGAGGGACACGGGGACAACACTTACTGCGGGATGATCAGAAGGTAGACGAGGCTGAAGAGGGCGGCCAGGGTGAGGGCGAGCACGACCGCGCTGGTGAAGTACTCATCCTGGAGCTGGTGGTACTAGGAGACGGAAACCCACCAGTCAGAGGTGGCGGCCCCGGGAGACGCGCAGCGTCTTTCTAGGGCAGCAGGGACGCCGGGAGCCATCGCGGCGTGGAGAAGGGCAGCGCCGTGCCCACGGAGACCAGGAGGAGGGCCGTGCGCGTGCGGCTGCGTCTGAGGAGCCCCGGGGACTGCCAGCCACTCTGGAGCCCTGGTCACCTACCTTTCGCTCTCGCTCAGCTTGCTTGTACTTCAGGGTGAAGAAGTTCAGGTCCGCCATCTCCAGCTCTGGCTGGCGGGCTTCTAGGAGGCGGCTGATGTACCTGTTGACGCGTGTGCCCGGGGTGGTGTACACGTTTGCAGAGAAAGACGAGCGGTTTCTGAGTTTTTCCGAGGCTGTTCTCAACGCCCTCCGCTGCAGCCATCGTGGAAAGAAAGGAATATCATCAGATTCTCCACTTATTGAAGAAAAGAATTCTTATGCTCCCTCAGCCTGTATCCCCACCCAAGGCAGAGCCTGGGGCCAGGTTTGGGGACCAGAGATGCAGTCGTGGCTCCACCACCTGCTGGCAGTGAGATCTCAGGCAAGTTATCTTATCATTGGTGTTGGGGTTCCCATGTCTGTAAGTGGGGGTCACATGGCACTTATGTGGCAGCACTGTGTGGAGGGTTAGAGGACCCCACATGTGTACAGTGGGGGACAGTGCCAGCACAGAGCAATGCAAAAAGCTAGTTCTTTGAAAATATCAATAAAATCAACAAATTTCTAGCAAGTGTAACAAAGAAAAAGAGAGAAAAGATACTAACAAATTTAGGAATGAAATGCAATTTTACTACAGACGATGCAGACATCAATAAGGAAATACTATGAACAACTCTACACACGTAAATTTGACAAGGTAGATCAACGAACTATACCTCGAAACACACAAACTACTACAACTCACCCAACATGAAAGATAATAGCCCTATAATTACCAAAGAAATTGAGTTCATAATTTAAAAATTCCTGAAAAACTAATTGCACACCCAGATGGTTTCACTTGAGAAGTCTACAAAATGTTTAAAGAATTAACACCGATACTACACAAATTCAACAATACATTAAACGGACCATATACCATGATCAAGTGAGATATATTCCAGCAATGCAAGGATGGTTCCACATCTGCAAATCAATCAACGTAATATACCACATTAACAAAATGAAGGATAAAAATTATATGATCTTCCCAATAGATGCAGAAAAAGTATTTGACAAAATTAAACATCTACTTATGATAAAAATTCTCAACGAAGTGGGTATAGAGGGAACATACCTCAACATAATAAAGACCATACATGACGAACCCACAGCTAACATTATGCTTAATGGTGAAAAGCTAAAAGCTTTTCCTCTAAGATCAGGAAAAAAAAAAAAAAAAGATACCTACTCTCATCACTTTCATTCAACAAAGTGCTGAAGTTCTACTCAGAACGATGAGGCAAGGAAAAGAAATAAAAGTCACCCAAATGGGAAAGGAAGATGTAAAACTGCCTCTATTTGCAGATGAAATGATATTATATATAGAAAACCCTACAGACTCCACCAAAAAACCGTTAGAATAAATGACTTCAATAAAGTAGTAAGATACAAAATCAACATGCAAAAATCTGTTGCATTTCGGGGCCGGCCCAGTGGCGCAAGCGGTTAAGTGTGTGCGCTCTCCTGCAGCGGCCCGGGGTTTGCCGGTTCAGATCCTGGGCGCCCACCGACGTACCGCTTGGCAAGCCATGCTGTGGCAGCGTCCCATATAAAGTAGAGGAAGACGGGCATGGATGTTAGCCCAGGGCCAGTCTTCCTCAGCAAAAGAGAGGAGGATTGGCATTGGATGTTAGCTCAGGGCTGGTCTTCCTCACAAAAAATAAAATAAAATAAAATAAACTCCCTAAAATTAAAAAAAAAAAAATCTGTTGCACATCTATACACTAATAATGAACTATAAGAAAGAAATTTTTTAAAAATCCCATTTACAATTGGATCAAAAACAATAAAATACCCAGGAACAAATTTAACCAAGGAGATGAAAGACCTATACACCGAAAACTATAAGACATTAATGAAAGAAACTGAAGAAGAACCAAATAACGGAAAGATATTCTGTGCTCATAAACTGAAAGAACTAATATTGTTAAAATGTCCTTACTACCCAAAGCAATCTACAGATTCAATGCAATCCCTATCAAAATTCCAATGGCATGGGGCCAGCCCTGATGGCGTAGTGGTTAGGTTCGCGTGCTCCGCTTTGGTGGCCCAAGGTTCACAGGTCTGGATCCCAGGTGCAGACCTATGCACCATTTATCAAGCCATGCTGTGGCAGGCGTCCCACATACAAAGTGGAAGAAGATGGGCACGGATGTTAGCCCAGGGCCAATTGTCCTCAGCAAAAAGAGGAGGATTGGCAACAGATGTTAGTTCAGGGCTAATTTTCCTCACCAATAAAAAATAAATAAATAAATAATTCCAATGTCATTTTTCACAGAAATAGAACAAACAAACCTAAAATTTGTATGGAACCACAAAAGACCCCAAATAGCCAAAATCATCTTGAGAAAGAAGAATAAAGCTGGAGGTATCATGCTCCCTGATTTCAAACTACATTACAAATCTATAGTCATCAAAACAGTATGGTGTTGGCATAAAAACAGACCCATAGATCAATGGAACAGAGAGCCCAGAAATAAAGCACACATATATGGTCAATTAATTTAAGACAAAAGAACCAAAAATACACAATGGGAAAAGGATAGTCTCTTCCATAAATTGTGTTGGGAAAACTGGACAGCCATATGCAAAAGAATGAAACTGGACCCCTAGCTTACACCAGACACAAAAATTAACTCAAAATGGATTAAAGACTGGAATGCAAGACCTGAAACCATAAAATTCCTAGAAGAAAACAGGGAAAAGCTCCTTGACATAGGTCTTGGTGATGATTTTTTGGATTTGACACCAAAAGTAAAGGCAACAAAAGCAAAAATAAACAAGCAGGACTACATCAAACTAAAAAGCTTCTGCATAGCAAAGGAAACTATCAACAAAATGAAAAGGCAACTTTACGGAATGGGAGAAAATATTTGCAAATCATATATCTGGTAAGAAGTTAACATACAAAATATAAAGCACTTATACAACTCAATAGCAAAAAAACAAATAACCTGATTACAAAATGGGCAGAGGACCTTAACAGACATTTCTCCAAAGAAGATATACAGATGGCCAACAGGTATGTGAAAAGATGATCAATATCACTAATCATCAGGGAAATGCAAATCAAAACCACAATGAGCTACCACCTCACACCTGTTAGAATGGCTATTATCAAAAAGACAAGAAATAACAAGTGTTGGCAAGGATGTGGAGAAAAGAGAACCCTTGTGCACTGTTGGTGGGATTGTAAATTGGTGCAGCCACTACGGAAAACAGTATGGAGGTTCCTCAAAAAATTAAAAATAGAACTACCATATGATCTAGCAATACCACTTCTGGGTATTTATCTCAAGAAAACAAAAATACTGACTCTAAAGGATATACACACCCCCATGTTCATTACAGCGTTATTTATAATAGACAAGCTATGGAAACAACCTAAATGTCCATCAATGGATGAATGGATAAAGAGAATGTGGTACACATATACACAGTGGAATATTATTCAGCCATAAAAAAGAGTGAAATCTTGCCATTTGCAATCACATGGCTGGACCTTGAGGGCATTATGCTAAGTGAAATAAGTTAGACGGAGAAAGACAAATACTGTATGATCTCACCTATATGAAGAATTTAAAACACAAAATAACCAGCCTCATAGATACAGAGAACGGACTGATGGTTGCCAGAGGTGGGGGTGGGGTTTGGGCAAAATGAGTGAAGGGGGTCAAAAGGCACAAACTTCCGGCTATAAAATAAATAAGTCCTGGGGATGTATAGCATAGTGACTACAGTTAATAACACTGTATTGCATATTTGAAAGTTGCTAAGATAGTAGATCTTAAAAGTTCTCATCAAAAGAAAAAAAAATTTTTTGTAACTAAGCACGGTGACAGATGTTAACTAGACTTAGTGTGGTTATCATTTTGCAATGTATACAAATACAGAATCATTATGTTGTACACTTGAAACTAACATAATATTACATGTCAATTATACCTCAATTGAAAAAAATTTGGCAACATGGGAAATTCTTCTAATATATTGTTAAAATTTGCATCTAGATTAGGATTACAAATGATTAATAAACTAAAATAGTTACATTTTGGGGGCTAAAATAAGAAAATCAAAATTTCTGAAAAAGTAATCTCCATGCCCAGATGGTTTCACTTGAGAATTCTACCAAACGTTTAAAGAATTAACATCAATTCTACACAATCTCTTCCAGAAAATAGAAGAGGAGGCAACACTTTGCAACTCACTTTATAAAGTCAATATTATCCTGATACCGAAACCAGACAAAGACAGTACAAAAAAGGAAAACTACAGGCCATATACTTCATGAATATCAATGCAAATATCCTTAAAATATTAGCAAATAGAATTCAGCAATACATAAATAGAATTACACACCATAACCACCTATAGAGATGCAAGTCTGTTTAAATATCTGAATGTCAATGTAATCCATCATATTAACAGGTTAAAGAAGAAAAATCCCATGAACTTATCAATTGATACAGAAAAATCATTTGCAAAAATTCAATACTCATTCGTGATAAAATGATCAGAAAACTAAGACTGGAGGGGAACTTCCCCAATTGGTAAAAACATCTAGAGAACACCTACAGCTAACATCATCCTGGATGGTGAAAGACTGAATGCTTTCCCTCCAGGATCTGCAGTAAGGCAGGGAGGTCTGGTCTCACCCTCCTATACACACAGTGCTAGACACCCCAGCCAGTGCAATGAGGCATGAAAAGGACACACAAGGCAGATTGGAAAGAAAACCGTCTCTATTCGCAGATGACATAATGGTCTACATAGAAAATCCCAAGGAACATACCAAAAGCAAACAAAACAAAACAAAACCAGAAAACCTTCTAGAACAAATAAGTGAGGCCCACAAGGTCACAGATACAAGATAAACATGAAAAGAAAAACAATGGTATCTCTTTATACTAGCAATGAGCATGTGAAGAATGAAATTAAAATACAGTACCATTTACAGTCACCAGGAAAAATGAAATACTAGGTATAAATCTAACAAAACATGCACAGAACTTGTATGCTGAAAACTCTACAATTCTGATGAGAGAAATCAAAGATCTAAGTCAATGGAGAGACATACCACACTCATGGATTAGAAGACTACACACAGCACGGATGCCAATTCTCCCCATATTGACATACACAGGTTTAATGCAATTCCCGTCAAATCCAGC